TGCAGCCAACGGGATTATACTTTAACAAGAATTTATGTGGGGGTTATAACGAGAGTAGATTTTATTCTGAAAAAATATATTATACATAATATTCAATTTCATTCATAATAAATAAATAGATGGCCCTTTTCGTTTGTCAAAAAATTGTTTTTATGTAAATGAAAGCTAATTTTACATCATCGGAAACAAAAATAAGATAAGTTAACCAATAAAATATTTATGAAAAAAATAATATTAAAAAGAAGAGAGGGGAATTGGACTTAAGGGCATTAAGGCGTGGCTGTAAAAAATTGTCAAATATGAACCTAATCAAATAAAATTTTTATAAAATTAGCCTCAACAATGTTACCTAACTTGTCAAAAAATTTCAGAATTTTTGTTCCAGAATTTCAAAAAATATGGTTAAAAATGGTTAATTTTCCCTTGAAAAATACGATATTTTCCAGTTTTCCTCACATAACTTTTGGAATTTTTAACTGAAAATTTTTGAAATTTAACAGGAAGAGAGCTAAAAGTATGGGGAATATTTAAGGAAAAAATCATCATTAAAGGTTATCCCCTCAGGCATTTTTATACTTCCGCGCCAAAACATTTCCGCGCCGAAATTTTTCAGGAAGAGTTAAAGGAATAATTTAAAAAGAGAAAAAAAGTTAACAATCAACGAACAATGTGTTTTATTTAATCTTTAAATTTTTAACTTAAAATTAGCTTTTTTGTCTTTAAAATAATATTCCCTAAATAAAAGGAAGAAAATAAAATTTAAAAAATAAATTGAATAAATTGGCCCAATTGTCTTATTTTCTCTTCTCTTTCCCCGTTGCCTTTCCCCCTTTATATTAAAAACTTGTTTGTTCATTTACGCGTGGCAGAGACTATACACAAAATTAAAGGAAATTGAAGAAAATTTGACAAAAAAAAATTTTTTTCTCAAAATGTAAAATCGTCAAGACACGTAAAGGGATAAGTGAAATTTTGTTTTGTTAGGTCTTGACTCTATTTAAAGTAATTTATTTTACTGGTTCTTGTAGAGGTAATAAGATTGGAAAGAGCATAACTTTGTGAGAGATTTGTTTAGGCAAGAAAATTCAAAAAAATTGTGCACGATCCCGAGCCTGAGGGGAGCAATCGGGTCTAGATTTGGGTGCCGGAAAATTGGGCTCTGGAAAATTGGGCTCCAAGATTTTTCGGAAATTTGGGCTCCAACTTTTCGGAAAATTGGGCTCCAGCGGTAATTCGGGCTCTGCGTGAAAAAATCGGAATATTGGGCTCTAAAATTTTGGGCTCCGGAGGAATTTTGGGCTCTGAGGAAAAAAGTCAAATTATGCAAACCTACGGAGCGAAGTCGAGTTCTGGGTTCGGAACCTACGGCCAGTTGGTCTGGGTGAGTACTTGGCCCTATTCCTTTACAGTATACTCAAATTGGTTCAAATTGGTTGGTCCGATTCGGTGGAATTTGATAAAGAAATCCTATTCCTTCGAATAACAGTTGGGCGTACACGCAAAATCTCCCGATTTCGAAGACTCATCTCTAATTTTTGCATAATTTGACTTTTTTCTCAGAGCCCAAAATTCCTCCGGAGCCCAAAATTTTAGAGCCCAATATTCCGATTTCTTCACGCAGAGCCCAAATTACCGCCGGAGCCCAATTTTCCGAAAAGTTGGAGCCCAAATTTCCGAAAAATCTTGGAGCCCAATTTTCCAGAGCCCAATTTTCCGGACACCCTAGATTTGCTTGTAAATCCCGAGTATTGTGACTTACTTATCAGGGGCAGGCGCATCGCTTTTGCGTTAAATTTTGGTCCTGTGTTTTTTAGAGATTGTCTGTCTCTTACGCCCACCACTGTTACCTATGTACTACTAACAAAAAATATAAAATTCTTAGCACATCCCCTCCACATTTAAGCTTTTGTGGTTGATCTAATTAAACCGAGAAAAAAAGTAATTATCTTTAAGGTTCCTTAATTTTCTTATTTGTCACAAAATAAAATTTCGCCTGCCTACAAAATAAAAATAATTTTTTGGAAAAATGTGTGCTAACATTTAAGAGGAAAAATAATAAAAGAAACAAAAAACTTTAAAGAAAATTTTTTTTATTATTTTTTATTTCTTTTTATTTTTTATTCCCTCCCAAGGGTAAAACAACCAAAAGCCAAACAATTTTATTATTTTGGCAAGAATGGTCTTTGACTTTTATGCATTTAAAATAAAAAAAAAAGCTAGGAGAGGTTGCTTTTTTTTAATGAATATTTTAATAGAATCTCCATTTTATCCCTCTCTTTTCTAAATTTATACAAAACTAGATTACCATTAGAATACTTCCCCCCCATCCTCTCCCACTCTTTAATCTTAAAATTTTTTTAGACACCCTCATACTACATAGAAGAGTTAATTTTAGAAAGTCTGGAAGCTCTGATTATCTGGTAATTTAAGTTTCTGACTTGATTAACTCAAAATTTCTATTTTACCTAAAGCTTTCAGAGGTAAGGAAGGGATAAGCTAGAGGCGGGATATATGGGAGATTTTCGAAAGTATACAATCTCTGACTTATCTTTACACTCAAGGTGCTTTTATTTTTCCAATACTATACCTATTCCCATTTAAGAAAAAATTCGCAGATATCCCGAGATATGCCGATTAAAAGGAATGTCAAGAACTAAGTGGTACAGGTAGGAGAGAGAGGGAGAGTAAAATAGAAAAAATTAAAGGTTATAAAATGAAAATTTAAATTTAATGTACACTTTTAAATTTAATAAATATTTAAAAAAATTTAAAAGAGGAAGAAAAATTTTTCTAAAAGAACAAACAAAGATTTATTATAAAATTTTTTTATTTTAATTTTTCTTTCTCCTTTTTCTTGTCTAAAAAACTTTTTTAGCAAAAAAAATTCGATTTTAAAGTAAAAAAAATTAAAAATGTTGTGACGTCATTCTATTCTCGAGAGAATAAAAAGAGAAAAATAAAGCAATATAAATGAATGAAAATGGGATAAAAATAGAAGAAAGAAGAAGAAAAGTGAAGAGGGGAAAGTGTTAAATCTTTGAAATTTTTAAACAAAGAAAGAAGGTTTTCAATGAAATAAAATTGGGAGCAGAGGAGGAGGGGGGGTAGATCAGGGCTGTCTGCAAGTGAAAAAAATTTTCCACAGCTACAATCCGTTAGTCCAAAAAACCACGCAAGTTACGCAATCCTCAGTCTGCGGACAGCCTTGGGGTAGTCGCAGGACTTGGGGCAGTCGCAGGACTGTGTATTAGCTTCGGCTAAAACCCTCTCGAGTAATAATATCCTCGTTTGGTTTGAGGCAACTCGACGAGCTGAATCGAACAGTTTGAGTGTGTATAGTCTTCGAATTATTTAAACAAGTGAACTTTTTTACAAGGGAACTTTTTATTTAAACTTTTTGACGGAATGGACTCGTGACGGAAATTCAAGAAGGATGATCTGCTCCTAATGAAATTCGAGAAAGACATCCTTGAATAAAATTTTTTGTATTCTGAACTGTACATTTTTTTGTTTATTTTTTAGTAAGGAGAAAGTTAAGAGATTATAATTATTTTTGGGCGCAGTTAAGATGTTCATTTGTCGATTTTATAAAATCATTCACACATCGCAACCCGCGCTGAAACATGCCCGCGCCCAAAAATTTTTTTCCTTATATTTTGGTTTTAAATATTTGATATTGCGTGAAAAAGGGGGAACGAAATGTGTGTTTATATAAAATTGATAGAAGGGCTGCCGCAAAGGATTATAAAATAAAAAATTTTTCTCGATGGAATGAACAAACAAATAAATCAAGAAAAAGGGGGGAGGTGGATTTTTAAACTTAATTTATTAAACTTTAAATTAAAATAAATTTAAAGGTTATATTTAATGTAGAATACTTTCAGACTTCGCTAAAATCTTTAAGGCTAAATGTGTCTTATCAAGAAAAAGAAGGGAGGTAACTTAAATAGAAGGGGGGGTATCGCCTAGAACGCTCTCCCCACCTAGCAAATGACCAACAGAGTTTAACAAACGTATCGTAAATAGAGGTGGGCCAGATATAACGGGACGGACATATCGGGATAATTCGATGTATAAACATTTACCATACTAATTTGGGATCCTAGGGCCACTGGGTCTTGGAAATTGCCCTATTGAAGAAAAGAGTTTTGAGTAAAAACCCCCACCTCCTCCCTTCCCTATATGTCTGTCTCCCTTCAAAATCGAGGTGTAACTACATAATATTTTATACAAAAATTTTAAAGAAACTTCCGGAAGGAAATAAAAAAGATTATTAAAACAAATTGGTCATTAATGCATAAATTTATAGATATCATGGAGTTTAAAAGGGAGAAACACGTCAATGAGCTATTATTAATTTTCTTTTTTTTCTGTCCGGAAGTTTATGACTAAACCGATTTAGATTGATTTTAATCTTTTCTGGCTAATTAAATAAAAAAATCTTTTCTGACATCTCCCAACCCACGAAATATATAAATAATGCTTTCTCAATTCTGGCATTAATTCACGGAAACGGAGAAATGCCAAAATTTGGAAACTGTAAGGGAAGGGACCGCGGGACCTTTCGACCTTTTGGATCGAGAAAAAAGTAATTAGGGGTGTATGTATACTCCAGGGATGTGCCGAAAGTGATTTTAAAAAGCGAACTGCGAAAGGCAAAAGACGAAAGGCGAAACTCGCACACCCCTAATATACTCTCTATCGTAAGGACAGTTTAAGTTGATTGGTCAAGGGGTGGGGAGAGCTGCTTAAGACGATACCTCCCAATTTACGTATACCTCAGTCTCTCCTAGAAATTTTTTCATTCCCCAAGGGATGTCCTCATGAAACAAGATCCGTCTACTACTATTTATTTGTTCCCATTTATTTACTCATAAAAATTGGGCAATTGAAAAATATTAGGGGGAAAATATGATTTTGAAGGACTCAAGGTTTTTGATTGATCACCCCTCTTCTATCATTAAAATTAAAAAGAAGAGGAACACTTTCCCGACTCTTTTTTACACTCGAGAAGAAAAGAGAAAAGAATTTTTACCCCAATAATTTAAAGATGAAAAAATAAAAATAAAATTCTTGTTTTTGTAAAAGAAAATTTTTGATAGACAAATTTGTGGCTAATAAAAAAATAAAAATAAGAAAATTATAGCAAATAAAATAGAGAAAGAATGGAGGCAATAATAAATTTTAAATTGAAAATAGTTAAGAAGATTTTTGATTGATTTATTAAAAAAATTTGACCCTATCCCAATATAAGGGCGGAATCGTTTTTTTCCATTACTTTTCATTACTTTATAAAAATGGTCAATTTTCCTTAAAGTTGATGTATGTTGATGTTTGCCTTAAGGAAGAATGGAGGACGGACAATTACAGAAACACGGCGTACACAGAACACGGACGTGTACGTCCGTGTGTTGTCTGTCCGAGTCTGCCCGTGTTTTTCAGTCCGTGTTTTGTCTGTCCGAGTCCGTCCGTGTTTTGGACAGACAAAACACGGACAGACAACACACGGACGGACACGGACAGACAACACACGGACGGACACGGACAGACAACACACGGACGGTCTCGGACAGACAACACACGGACGGTCTCGGACAGACAACACACGGACGGTCTCGGACAGACAACACACGGACGGTCTCGGACAGACAACACACGGACGGTCTCGGACAGACAACACACGGACGGTCTCGGACAGACAACACACGGACGGTCTCAGACAGACAACACACGGACGGTCTCAGACAGACAACACACGGACGGTCTCGGACAGACAACACACGGACGGTCTCGGACAGACAACACACGGACGGACACGGACAGACAACACACGGACGGACACGGACAGACAAAGCTCGGACGAACACGGGCAGACTCGGACAGACGTCCTCCATTCTTCCTTAAGGCAAACATCAACATACATCAACTTTAAGGAAAATTGACCATTTTTATAAAGTAATGAAAAGTAATGGAAAAAAACGATTCCGCCCTTATATTGGGATAGGGCCAAAAATTTTTTGGAGTCTGTAATGTTAAAAAATTCATTGGATTGAAGGGGGACAACCATAATCTTAAAGAAAAAATTATGAAAAGAAAGAAAACTGATTACTTATAAAAACGTTTCTTAAATCAAGTAAATATCAAGGTAAAGTCAAAAAATTTGAAAAATGCCTTGAGCCTGATCTCTGATCAGGGAAAAATGAAGAGCTGGACAAATCAAGGCAGAACTCTATTAAATAGAGCATTACTGATAAATAATGCCACTATAAATCTATCATGCGTTACTTATATAAAATTCCGGAATTGTTAAAGAATTTTTAACAAAGTCGGAAATAGACATGGATTTTGGCAACCGGATATTTACAGCGGATAAAGTCGGATATCCGCAGGCATTTTGAAATTATCTGTATCCGTATCCATTACAAAGTCTGAATAAAAAAATTTATGACGTTTTTTAATCGCGGAAGCCATGAAAAATAATAATTAAAGTCTTTTTAAATAATATTTTTAAGAAGGAATTAATAAAAAAATGGTGAGAATGAGTCAATAAAATGAATGAGTCGATAAGACAAAAACAAAAAATATTTTTATATTTAAAAAAGAATTTTTGAATTGGAAATAAAATTATTTGGGTGAATGAATAATTTGATTATTTATTGTGAGGGTGTTTGAAAAATAATAAAAAGAAAGAAAAAATTTTGTTAAAAAAATTTTAGAGAATTTTTAAAAATTTTTTTATTTAAATGACATTTTCTCTTCTGCAATTTTTAATATTGGCATAATGTTATAATTTTGAAAATTACTGTATTTATTCTAATAGAAGACCCGGGTCTATTTTTCCAAAGTTTCTACTGGAGGGTTGGGTTTTTAAGAGAATGGACTTCTATTGGAGAGTGGGTATCAGTGATGGAAAACTTCCAAAATTTCTCTGGAACCGGCTCCGGTTCTGGAACCGCTTTTTCAATTTCCTCGGTTCCGGTTCTACGGTTCCAGACCTTTGCCGGTTCCACGCTTCCAGTTTCAGAACTGGAACCTTTCCATCACTGGTGGGTATCTAAAAAATGAGCGTCTATTAGAAAGTGAGTATTTATTAGGGCTTCTGATAGAATAAATACAGTATTTTTTAGAATGCATGAGAATTCTAAAAACAAAAAAGAGAATTTCTCCCCCACCTCTTGACTTGCACTAGCCTTAACTTGTTGATGTTGTTTACGTAAATGAAAAACACGTAGAGACAAAGCCAAAGATCTAAATTTCATTGCGGCACTATTTTTAATATTATTATTATTTTGTTTTTGTTGGTTATTTTTTTCTGTTGCAGAAGCTGCTGTTGCTACTAAATTTGTTGGGGTAGTAGAATTATCAGAAATTGAAAATGTTAATTTTTTCTTGAAGAAAGAGCCTGAAGAATCTGAAAAATATTTAGTGAAAGTAAGGGAAATTATAGTAGAAATTTGGGAAGATGACTGATAGGGACGAAATCCCGCTTTAACTTGATCCAGACTTATTGTTAAATTCATAGAAAATTTATACAACCCAATGGGATCTAAGCAATCACATAATCTCTCAACCTTTTTAATTTTATTATTAGCACTCTCGATACTATTGCACAACTTCTCAACATTTATTTGCACTTTATTTTTTCTCTCCAAAAATACTCATAGGGTAAAATAACATTAATGATCAGTCAAGTGAGAATCCGGCTTTTACAAGTTCTCGATAGAAAATAAGTTAGTTCCAAGTTAACCCATGTACACTATTTTTGGAGAAATGGGAGGAAATTATGCGAAAGTATCCAAGTTTCCCGAGGTTTTCTCTCACCGAAATATCCAAATCAAAATCATAGGGCTTTTAATATACTTATTCAAACACAAAAATCACAGGTTTAATATTTCCCTAAAATGTCTAAAAAACTAAAGGGCATGTTCTCTCAGAAATCACCAAGAAGGAGGGTGGCTTCAATTTTCTCAAGAAATCACCAGGCATGTAACCGACTCACAAATTAAGAAAAAATTTAATAATAATTTACTCGAAGCTTTAGATTTTTCCTCTTCTTTAAGAGAAAGTGTTGTCAACGAATTATTAGAAGACGAAAGATTTTCTGTAGAAGATTGTTCAACAATAATAATTTTACAATCCTTTTCTTCTTCTTTTGTTTCTTTTAAAGGTTTATTATCACCTTCTTCTTCAATTTGTTGCTCAACTGTTGCTTCTTTCTTTTCTTCTAAGAAATGTTCTTTCCGTTCCTGAAAAAAATTAAATAAAGGGGAATTTATATACAAATTAGATTTATTTATCTTTCTTGCTTCAGTTTTGTTTTATTTTCCTTTTTAAGTGAGGGTTGGGGGACATTTAGGCGCGAGATTGTTAAGACGTATGTATGTATATTTATTATTGTTCTTTATTTTATGAAAGGAGAGCGCTTTGATTCTTTAAAATATAGTAACCAGTGTTTGACAGTAGTGATCGAGCTGGGTCTGGAGCAATGCTTGGGTATTTCCCGTACCTAGAGTCCAGGCCCAGGCATTTTTTAACCTTCCTGGGTTTTTCCTGGGCTTAGGTTTATCCTGGACTACAGGCCCAGGATCCGGCCCAGGTTAATAAATCAACCCCAGGAACAGACCCAGACTTTTTAAAAATCTCGATCACTATTTGGCAAATTCCAAAAAATCTTATTCGCCAGTTCCGGGCGCAGCGGAACACTACTACGCAAAAACACTACCAAGTTTTCTATGTGTTCATTTTTTATTTGCGGTTTTTATTTAAATGATTCAATGATTTACATACTAGAAAAATAAATTTTATAGGAAAAAAAGTCAAAGCCCCTTTACTCAATTCCATATAGAAAAATCCAAGAGATAAAGTATACACACTTTTTTAGCCGTGTTTATGAAAAATCAAAACACCCCCATTTCAAATAAATTTTTTTTCAAAAAATTCAAAAAATTTAGGTAACTCCATCTTAAATATTTCAATTAAATTTTCAAGATTTAGCATAATTTTTGGCTATTATATAAATCCGCGCCAAAAACATGCCGCGCCGAAAAGTCCCTTCCCTATTTAAATCGAGCAAAGAATAAATGGCAAAAATGCTTTTCTTGAAATAAATAAAAGGAATGTTTAAAAGAAAAAGCAATTTAAGTGGCAAGGGTTAATTTGAAGTGGGAAGTGAGAGAGAGGGAGAGAGTTGTTTCTACATAGAATCCTTAATAAACCGCGCAAGGAAGAAGTCGAACACGGCAAAAATCAAAAAGGGAAGGGAACGGGAATAACTAAAAAAGAAACTTGGAAAGAGGAAAAAAGCTTGGTGCCAGAATTCCAAATAAATTTAATTGGTTTTTAGAAAAAAATTATTTCCCGGCTAAAATATAATTAGTTTTTGAAGTAAAAAATGCAAAAAATGGAAGAGTTGGTGGAAATTTATTTAATAAAATAAAATTTTTTAACAAATTAGGTGTTCATTGGAACCTAAAAGATTTGGAAAATAAAATTTTTTCATGATAGGATTCGAGTATAAAATAATGTCGACTGAAAATTTTTAAGTTATAGTTTCGAAATTTAATTTTCGATTTTCGAAGGTTACGCGATTTTCGAAATTATTAGATTTTAAAAAGTCGAAACTTCGAGTTCTGAGTTAACCCACTAAATATAGCTTTTAAATCAATGGCCACTAAATAAAGGAGCCGATTTCTAAGCCAAGATTTTTAAAAATTCTTCATATAAGTTGAGTCGTGGAGGGGTACTACTACTGAGAGTTAATAAAAATTGAAGTATGATCCCTTCTTTCCTTGCCTTTCGCATCTAAAGATAAGTAGGGGATTTCCCTAGTTAGCCAAAAATATAGGAGGTTTTTCTTAAATCTCTTAAAAAAATTTTCTCGTCGATTTATTAACAGTTCTGATTGGAAATATTTTTTTGAGATTAAGAAAAAATTAAAAATTCTGATTTTAATTAAATCAGAATTTCAGTTTTACTTAATATATATTATTTTATTTATGTAAATAATTTTTTAAATGATATTTTTGCAACGTATTTTTTGAAAAAAAAATAAGGAAAAATGCCAAAATGCATTTATATTTTCCCTTTTTACTCAAGTATCAAGTAAATTATGTATTGGCCAAAATACGAAAAAAGGGGTAAATGAATACACAAACAAAGCTGTTTCTGCAACTTTCCCATAAATAAAAAAATACAATTTTCTTTTCCCTCAATTAGCAAAGCTTTTTTAAAATAAAAAGTTGAGTGAATTAAACTGGGGGTATGGATAGGCTAAAGGAGGCAAATACTATTTTCGAAGTTTCGAGTTTCAAAGGGGTCTCTTTCGATTGCGAAGGCTTTTTGAAACAGATCTGCTTCTGAGTCAAAAGAGATAGAGAAACAAGAGAGAAAAACTATAATCCAATTGAATCTCTCAATATAACTAGCTCGAAGAGGCCCCTAAAACGTTCTTTATCGGTAAAGCTAGAGGGCATCATTATATCGAATTTCGACTGTAAATAAACAGCAAAGAGAGAAAAAAGTGGGGATCTTGTCTCTCCCTTTTTTTAAAGTTTATTTTCTGTAGCAAGTAGAGTAGCACGAGGTCGAGATTCTCAGAAAACCCCGAGGCCGAGGATCACCGAGGGTGGAAAAGCCGAGATTGATTGAGGTCGAGGACCGAGGAAAACCGAGCCATGACCTTGTGCTACTCTAGAAGCAAGATAATAATTGACTTAAAGCATAAATAAGGATTTTTAAAATATTTTTAAAAAACAAAACAGAAAAATAAATAATAAATAAATATTTTCCTTTGCTTAATAAGCAAAAATGTGTGTGGTATGTATTTATTACTTAGAAAAGAAAAAATTTAAAAAAAAAACTTGGAAAAACAGAAAATTATTGTTAAAACTTGGAAAGAATGTAAATTTACTAGAAAAAATGTTTTTAAAAAATAATTATATTCTAAACCTTTTTTAGCTTGAAAATGACATATGTATTTTTTAATAATAAATAAATTTAAAAAATTTTAGGAGTGTCAATTGCAGAAGAAAAATTGAATAAAAATTAAAGTCTCTCTTTGTGTAAAACTAGGGTAGCACCCCGAGCCTTCGGTGGCGGGAGTGTCTGGTTTCGGGGTATGCCGGGGTAGAGCCATCAGGGTTTTGGGGGACGGGGTGCTACTACCCTATGTAAAACTATCCAATACCAAATATGGGATATTTACAAAAGAGATCCATATATTTTAATAAAATTATAATAATTTTTATTCAAAAAATGCATTGATTGAATTAGTTGAAACAGACAAGTGTTCAAAATTATTGAAAAAAATATTTTTAAAAATGAAGGTGGAATTTGGCTAGATTAAAAGTCCCAAGTTAAACGAAATTTGATCTATAGAATATTTTTGAAAAAT